GCAGCACAGTCTGGAAGGCAGGGGCGTGAAGTGTGGACGGTGCAGGGTCAGGGAGAGTGCAGCACAGTCTGGAAGGCAGGGGCGTGAAGTGTGGATGGTGCAGGGTCAGGGAGAGTGCAGCACAGTCTGGAAGGCAGGGGCGTGAAGCGTGAAGTGGTGCAGGGTCAGGGAGGGCGCGGCACAGTCTGGAAGGCACTTGAGGCCATAGGTGTTTTCCACCCCTCCCTGGAAGTTGAGGAGTGTCTGCATGAGTCACCCTGTGTTAGTGCAAGGGACGTAACTCAGGCAGAGTCAGGTGGGCCGTGCCTGGGTCCACAGCACCAGTGCAGTGACTGCTCCCCAACCCCCAGCTCCTCAAAGATGCAAATAACCCTCATGAAATAAAAGCCGTTGTTTTGCCTTGATTGTATCTGCATCCAACATACATGAAGAGGGGGAGCGTGGAGATCAGGCTAGCGCCTGAGGTGGGTCCCCCAGAGTTTCCTACAGATCTTGGGGGAAATTCTTGTAAAATTGAGAATTTGCATTCTTCGTTTTTTAATTTTACTTTATTTTATTTTTTAAAGACAGACTCTAGCTCTATGGCCCAGGCTACAGTGCTGTGGGATCATAGCTCACAGCAACCTCAAACTCTTGGACCCAAGGGACCCTCCTACTTCAGCCTCCCAATAGCTGGGACTACAAGTGCTTGCTACCTTGCCCAGCTAATTTTTCTATTTTTTAATAGAGATGAGGTGTCTCTCTTCCTCAGGGTGGTCCTGAACTCCTGACCTCAGGCGATCCACCTGCCTCAGCCTCCCAGATTGCTGGGATCACAGGTGTTAGCCACCACCACAGCCAAGAATTTCCATTTCTAACAAGTTCTCAGATGATATCAAAATTGTTGGTCCTAGAACTATACTCTGAGAAGCACAGTCACCTAAAAAGGGACCTCGTTTTGAGACTTATAATTTACCACTTACATGACGAAACACGGGACTCTCTCTGCATGTCATTCTGACATGACGGGTGACATGGCCACACCAGTAAGGACGCTGGACAGTGTCCTCTGTGGTTCATCCTGGGAGGCCTGTCCAAGACCAGGAAATTCAGCTGTCCTCTAACATTAATTCTGTCTCTCCTAGTTGAGGTGGACTTGGACCCACCTGCGTGTGCCTTGCAGGGGCCTCTCCTAGCACCAGGCCTCCTGTTTGGCCACAAGAATCCACTGCCATCTCGGATCTGAGCTGGGCAGTGTACGTTTTGCTAAACAGTGGCACTCAGAAGCCTAAGTAACACACAGATACCTAATGCAGCAATTCTGCGTCTGTTCCTCGGTCCCATTAATTTTCTTAACTAGAGCAGAGCAGAGCCGACTAGCAGGCCAGCCCTGTCCTATCTTTACTGACAGCTGTGAGCCTTCTGTTGGGATATAAAAGCTTCCTATGATATCATTAGCATCTGCTCAGGCTCACTCCGAGACTTCTGGAGATGCTGCATTTTCCCTTCTCGCTGAATGCTCTGGCTGCTCCTTCCAGGCCCTGCCTTGAGGAGAGAGTGTCCTGAGTATCCCCTGCCAGAGTGGCCTGTGTTACCCTCCTGAGCTGTGGGGCCTGGCAGATGCAGCTGGGTCCAAGCCCAAGAAGGCAGATGGAATGGGGGTTCAGCCCGAAGTTGACTCCATGTTCTCGGCAGGTGGAGGGAGGAGGAAGCCCCAGGTTTGCAGCCCCCACGAGGCAGCCCGGGTCGGATTCTCACACTCTGGGTGAGCCAGGCTGGGTTTGCTTGGCCCCCTTAGAGGAGGAAGCCAGACCTTGGTGTGGCAGGGTGACTGCCGAGCTCCCCTGGGGCGGGGCTGCAGGTGGCATCTGTTCCCCTCCTGCTCCGTCCGTCAAGCATTTACTGGGTTCTCCTTGGTACCAGACATAGTTCTAGGCCCTGGGGATGTGAAGATAAAAATGTCTGTTTTCAAGGTGATCTCTTTCTAATGAAGGAGAGAAATCCTTAAAGTACAGAATAAAAAGTGTGCTAGAATGTGCATTCTCAAGGAGGGGGGGATTGCTTCTTGGGAGCAAATAATCTTAGCTATCACATCACTTTAGCTGTGGCCCTCCAGAGCTCAGCCCTTCCTGACTGAATCTTATTCCTTTGCATTCAATTTCTCTCATTAGGGAGAATTTAAAATCAACTTATGTCCTTGGCAGGGATGCAACAGGAGTTCAGTGGCACAAGGAGAATGCCCAGGAGTAGAGGGTCTCTGGGAGGGGCCTCCAGCCAGGCTGGGGCTTCCTGGCAGTAAGATATCTGAGTGTCACCTCCAAGTAAAGGGAGAGATTCTCCAGGGGACAAAAGGAAGATGTTTGTACTCAGGGAGAAATAGACAGTAGGGTAGAGATATTAGGAAGTGCTTTCTAAGGAACTGCTGTGGTTCGGGGAGCCAGGATTTGGGGACATTGGGACGGGGAGGATGGTACAACCCTCTGGAGAGAGAGCTGGCTCCGCTCAGCTCTGGCAAAGGGCTGTCTCGTGTTCTTAAGCAATGGGGGATCAACGGAATGCATCAAGTAACACAGTAACCTATTCAGAACCGTGTCTTTAAAATAGTCTGAGAAGAAAAAAGAGAATTCAGTGCAGGCAGCCCTGGGAGAGTATCTGTGAGAGGAGAGAGGAGGAAGGGTAAAGCTGGATCCTAGGCAGGAAGACCACTCAGGTGGACGTGGCTGCCCTGCAGCCCTGGGAGAGTATCTGTGAGAGGAGAGAGGAGGAGGGGTAAAGCTGGGTCCTAGGCAAGAAAACCACTCAGGTGGACGTGGCTGCCCTGCAGCCCTGGGCAGAGCCAGTTGGGCCTCCTGGGAGCAGTGCCCGGGCACTGGAATGCCAAGACACCGTGCAGGCAGGTGGCGCAGTGGTCAGGCACCGGGATGCCAGGACACCACGCAGTGGGGCCATGTGGTCTGGCACAGCCACGTACAGGCTGCCACATGGGGCTTGCTAAGGGAACAGTATTTTCTTTTTTAAGAATTTATCATGAAATTACAATTATACAAAAACAGAAATACAGTGTGGTAAGTTCTCATGGTGCCCAGAGTGGACAGTCGTTAACTCACATTGTCTATGTCCAGTCTGGTTTCTCTACCTGAGCCAACACTGGCTTATTCTGAAGAAATTCCAGGCATCATAGCATTTCCTCTTGTAAATGTCCAAGAGAGAGATATCCTTTTAAAACACGTAACTAATAACATCATCACTTTAAATACTAGCAATTATTCTTGATATCATTGAATATCCACTGGATTACATTTTTCTGACTTTTATATACACATATATGTACAGATAGATGGATAGTTTGGGGGGATTTTTCGTTTTCTTTTTTGAGACAGGGCCTCACTCTGTTGCCCAGGCTACAGTGCCATGGTGCAATCACAGCTCACAGCAACCTCCAATTCCTCTGCTCAAAGGATCCTCCTTCCTCAGCCTCCCGAGTCGCTGGGAATACGGGCGCCTACCACCATGCCCAGCTCATTTTTGTTTGCTTATTTTTTGCACAGACAGAGTCTCACTATGTTGCTCAGGCTGGTATTAAACTCCTGGCCTCAGTCAGTCCTCCTGCCTCAGCCTGCCAAAGTTCTGGGACTACAGGTGTGAGCCACTATGCCTTAATAGCCTTTCTATAAAACAGTGGTTTGTTTGAATTGGGATCACAAAAGATCTACTCATTGATTTTGGTTGTAAAATCTCTTAAGTCTCCCCTCCCTCTCTTTTGTTTCCAAGACTTGATTTGTTGAAGAAATCAGAAGTAAGCTTTTATTTCTGTCAGAACCTCAATACCACATCAGTGCGTCCCATTTCCACCCCAGTGTGGTCACAGGGATGTGTTTTTGCTCATTAAGACACTGTCACTTTCTTGGTCTGTGTCTTGGTTGTGATCTAAACTCACCAACTGCCCTGAAAATCGCCTGCTGGTGACAGTGAGGCCTCAAGTGCCTAATAAAAGTGTCCCTCAGTGAGGTGGCCTGGAACTGACTCCACTGAACCTACTCCCTCCAACTCAGCTTTGTTGTCTTTGTTATGCAAGGTGCATCTTCCAGAGACAGCCCCAAGCTCCCTCGGGGCTGTCTGAGGGATGAGCTAATAGGACCTGGTCAGCTCCTTTGCCAGCAAGTGAGGCTGCTCCAACCACCTTCCCAGGGGACCAGTGTTAGTTTTCTTGTGAACCAAAGTATCACCTGAAACTTCCTTCAGGTTCCTGGTTCAGGTGTGGACAGCTGTCATTTCCTTCAAATCTCATAAAAGCTGATGGCCAAACCCAGGGTCCTTGGTGCCCACTGACAGGTTTCTGCTCAGCCCTTTCTGGTGTGGACAGCAGCAGGATCAAGCCTTTCCTGGGCACATGCCCTACACAGCCGGCAGAGGGGCCAGCAGTAGCAAATGTTTAACAACTAGCTCAAATTTTGATCCAGAATATAGCTGGTGGTGCAGGCTGCAAAGTGTGGGTAATATCTCCAATAATAACCTATTCATTTAGGTTAAAGGCAGTTCTGAAAGCTGACGAGTATCATACTTTGGAAAATACAGACCTTTCAGCTCTGCCCATCCTTTGATTACTGATCCCTGTGCTTCTCTCAGGAGCCCTTCACAGACCGTCACTGCCCCAGGTGCCACAACAAGTGCTGTGGCTGGGAGGAAGTGTGTGGACCAGAAACAGAGCTATTTCAGGCTCAGCGTGAAAGATTCTCGGCTGCTGATATAAATTTGAGTCTAATATTGCAGATTGTTACACTCCAAAATGTTGGCTTAGTGTTCTGGTGTGGGGTGGGGGGATGGAGCTTCTTAGGGATGGAGCCCTCGGGGGGTGCAGGTGATGGTGGCCCCCCAGGTCCCAGTCTACAGCAGCAGAGAAGCCAGCGTGGGTGAGAGAGGGCTCGCTGTCCCCATGTCACTCTAAGGACCCTCTGTTTTATGTCACCCCAATCCTTCAGTGCACACACAGATAATCGGATTGTTAACTGAGGCTTTTCTCTTCCTCACTTTGGGGGCTCCTATTGCAAATGAACAGCTGTTGATTCTGGAAATGTGACCCTGTCAGTAGTTGGCTGTGACACGTCTCCATGTAAAAGCTGGCTGTCTTGTTCAGGCAGCTACCGTGCCACCTCATTGTGTCCTTAGGTGAAGAAACGACACAGCTCCTTCACCAGCTAAGCCCCAGGCACAAGTATAAAACCAACAGAGAACTCTAGAATTCTGAGACTTCATGGTGGCAGCCCTGACTCCATCACAGCACCCACCGCGCTGACAGGGGCCTGTGGCAGGCCATGTTCACAAACGCCTTTCTTTGTGCTGAAGTTTAATAGCCCAGATTAGTTCATGACAGTGTGGTAGGCTGGTGTTGCCATTGAAACACAGCATATGACGACCTTTACTGTGTTAAAAGAGGAGAATCATTCAAACCTCCCCTTTAATCTCCATGAATTCATCAATAGGACTTGAGTTTTAAGACAGTGGAATGATCTGTGAGGGATTCTAGATTTCCCACTGCAGTTCACAAGCAAGGTCCCACCTAACCATGTGTAGGTACCTGTGTGCTCCCACCCTTAACAAAACCAACTTTCTGTACTGAAGTCAGCTTGTGGGTTAAGCTTACAAATGAGCTGAGGTGGCTCAACCTGTTACCATGTGACTCTCCTCCTGTGTCACCTCCTCAGCCACATGGCTGTTCCTCAGGTGTTTATCACAAACCACAAGACACTAGGCATGACTGGCATGGTGTGGATGCCCACTCGGGTGGACCGGTCACAGATTTAAAGCCTGAGTCACTGAGCGCGTCTCTTCCCTGGCACTGACACACCCTGAATCGGAGCCTCAGATCCTGTTAAGGAAACACTCCTTCCCAAAATAATTACCTTCTCAGACAGAATGCATTTGGTGCTGAAGTTCCGAATTTTCTGCTTTATGTAGACATATTTGTCTTGTTATTTTGCTTTTCTGAAGAAACCAATTATGACTCCCTGGCATTTATTGCAGATGAGCAAGAAAGTTCCGGAGCAATTATTTACACCGTGGAGCTTAAGCGCTACGGGGGGCCCCTTGGCATCACGATTTCAGGAACTGAAGAGCCGTTTGATCCTATAATCATTTCAAGCCTCACTAAAGGGGGATTAGCTGAAAGGTAAAATCTGAAGGCGCTGGCGTAATTGCCTGCGTCTGGGGCGGGCCCCTCCCAGCTGCGGGAAATGTGCTCCCCCCGTGGTTGGTTTTCCCTCAGCTTTTTCAAATCTTCACAAAGGACTAAGGTTGGAGCCAGAACTCTCAGGCAGAGCCCAGCTGGACTTTGAGGGCATCTCACAGGCAGGAATAGATGCCAGGCCTCGCACAGACTCCCCTCTCTGAGATGCGTGAACCACAGCTGACCATGAGCAGGTCCACACTGTGCATTCTTTTTTTTTTTTTT